TGCTTTTAAAACACCAACAAAGCAAAAGCAAGTTTTGCAAGCGGAGAGTTGGACATAGCAAGAAGCAAAGCGAGCAAGAAAAAAAAGCTTTAGGGGGTGATGTCTCCTTGAAAGCGTCCACTGCCGTGAAGGACAACCGACCCACTGCGGCAAATACATAAAAGCTAAGAACTGCGACGTGGCGTACATTTAAGTTGAGCCATGTAGGAAAGCCCACCAGCCAACAAGCCAAGCCCTTCTACAAAAATCAAAACTACCGTTATCCGGTAGCCAGCTAGCAAGCACACTCTACTGATGTGAAAAGGACACAAACAGTTTCATTGTTATAGTTTAAAACGAGCAACAAGATGAGAGCAAACTAAGAGTTGACTGCTGTGAAAAGATTGGAGTTCAGCTAGCGGTAGAGATTTTGTTTAATCACTGCAGTAATAGTAGTCCGATAGCTGTATAGCATTGCTTCGCTAATTCCGGGCTTCGTGGATGTCTCGTCAAGGCCAGCCTCCGCTGTGCGGCAGCTAGCAGGGATGCTACAGCGTCGGTATACACCGAGCCCGAGACAGCCAACCCGGAAGGGAGCAGAAAGGCTAGCTTCGATAGCTCCTACACAAGAAAACGAACAGAAAACATGCAAACACGGCAAAGTAGAGGTTTGAAAAACGCTAGGAGAGCGAACCACAAGTCACCTTGACCGCCATGCTGGTTTGACGTCAGTACAGTGAGCGAGCAAGACGCAGCGCTCGCGCTCAGACGTGTAGCTACAAGTGTCGGAAAATGAAACGAAACAGCGCGCGCTTTGAATAAAGAAGGTGCGGCCGGTAAATTGGTTTAGCTATCAACCTGTGCCAGCTCTGAGACTCCTGTTACTGCGGTTAGTAAAAGTACTACACTACTGCGACTATCCCACTGCTCATACTACAAATACCACAGCAGCTAGTAATACTGTCACTTTAGTTTTTGATGACACCCCGAGCTACACATTGTTGGAACAGATCAATAAAGAATGTTCATTATAAAAACAACAACAAAGACCTGTGGGTTTGAATTCTGCTCTAAAAATATCTATGAATTCAGCCCGACTTTATTTCGATGTCCTGTGTAGATGACGTAGCAATTATTTATTTTCATGCTTAAAAAAAACCAAAAAAAAAAAACACACTTTATTTTACTTTTTGTTTGTTTAAAAATAGATAAGAGTTTATCTCCCTGACCTTGGTGAGGTGTCCTTATGAGAGATATGAGCTGTGTTTGTTTTCACTGATAAGGTATCTACCTACTACAGTATCTCCACTAGCAGTCCTATTATGGCATGTTATCTGTCTGTGCTATGATAATTGTCATCTGCAGGGTCTTATATACTGTGGAGGTGTTAACTAGAGTACTGTACGATAAACCCTATAGTTAAATGGCACAGCTACATTACAGAGTCAGTCACTGAGTCTGTGGTTTGTATTATCAAAATCTACCTATTATCAACTTAAATCTTCATCTGATAAAGAGGCAGCTGTTTTAGCAGAAGCCTCGAACGCAGAAGATGTTAACACATCCATAACAGGCCAAACAGGTAGGCAAACCACAGGAAACATCAAAACTGCAACAGTCTGTCTGAAATGCAAATCCACGCTTACACAGGGAGAGGAGAGATTTAAAAAAAAAAAGAACTAGGAAAGATTGAGTTAAAGATTGAGGTAAACTACTAAACTCACTCTACAACTGACATGTAACTAACCTTAACTGGAAAAAACACAAAAACTAGGAATAAATACAGAAATGTCTTTTTCTTCCTTTGGCTGTTCCCTTTAGTGGCCACCACAGCAGATCACCTGTCTAAATCTTACTGTATTCCTAATATGCTTCTCTTTCACATAAACCCTGAATCTTCTCTGTGGTCTTCCTCTTTTCATCCAGTCTGGTAGCTCCATATTGGAGATTCTTTATCTCACTATCCTCTTGTAAACCTTCCCTTTCACTTTTGCTGGTATCCTTTTGTCACAAACCACCTCTGACTCCACCTGCTCCACCCTGTCTTCTTTACTCTTTTCTTCAGTGTACCGTCTGTTGTTTTGGATCGTTGACCCCAGAAATTTATTCTTAACAACCTCTATTCCTTGCAGCTTCACTGTTATACCTGTCTCCCTCTCATTCGCACACACACCTGTCCACCTGTCAAATCTGTGTCGTCTGCAAACATCAACGTCTGCAGAGACTCTTTCCTGACCTCATCTGTTTGCCTGTCCATCACCATTGCAAACCAGAAGGTGTTCAGAACAGATCACTGAATTAATACCAACCCCAGCTTGAACCCATCTGTCACCCCTACCGCACACCTCACCTGTGTCTTTTTGTCATACATGTCCTGCACCACCCTCACATACTTCTTTGCCACTCCTGCCTTCCTCATACAATACCATAGTTCCTCTCTTGGCACTAGGGATGGGTATCGTTTAGGTTTTATCCAATACCGGTACCAAATCGGTACTTTTGAAACGGTGTCGGTGCTCAAACGGTGCTCAAACCGGTGCTTAAAGAATGGAGAACACAAAATTGGTCCAAAACCTCTCATGTTCAGCTGTTTTTTTGTAAAAAGATAACAATGTTAGCCTTTTCTGCAGCTATGGGGCATATATGGTATCACTCTTGGCTGGAAGCAGTGCTTAAACAATGGAAAAAACACAAACTTTACCCAAAAACCTCTCATGTTTAGCTGTTTCCCTCTTTTTCTTTGGTCATTTTAGCCTTTTTGGCCAGGGTGAAGGGAGTATCTGCCATCAAACAAGAGGACAGCCGCATGTAGCTATGATGATGTTTGCTAGTTCACCTTACATGCATTAATGTAATAACATGGTTAGCCTACTCAACGTAAATTACACACGAACAACATTAAGCTACTCACGCAGAGAAGAACGGCTGCTGCTGCCATCATCATTTCTGCTACACTGGCAGGGCTAGGGGCCAGGACTCTCCTTTTTGTGTTTTTCGAGGATGTTGAATAACAAGCAACCAAACCGCAGTAGATGTCCTCGGTGTGAGGTCTCGCAGCAAGCTATCAAATACGGCGCATTTCTTGGCTTTTAAAAAACGCTATGCGTCGCCAGGTGTTTCATCGGATTCTTGGTGTTACCTCCTTTGATAGTATCACAGTATCAGCTTAAAGCACTTGTTGCAGGCTGCTGAGTTTGCATATTTTGCTGTGAAGTACAGCCAGACTTCTGACCGCTTCGCCTTGGGCATTTTTAATCTGTAGCTCTGCTCTAAAAGAACGTAGTACCTGGACCCGCCTACTATCCTCGGAAACGTAAAATGATTGGCTAGAAGTGTATCACAGCTCAGGAAAAAAAAGCACCGAAATAAAGCACCGAAATGTGCGCTGCTTTTCGGTCTGGTTACTACCGTTTATGTCAGAACGCACCGGACACCGGTACCCATCCCTACTCAGCACGCTATCCTATTCCTTCTTCATATGGTTTCTTTACAATGTGGAGAAGCTCTGTCTACACCTTCTTTTCTTTTTTGCTAAGTGCACTGTGTGCATTTTCGAGTCTCAAAGTAAACTAAACAGTAAGTCCTGAGACTTTTAACCTTACCTTCAATAAAATAAAAAGCAATGGAATCACACAAGTTGTTTTCCAATCGCAGGATTACATAGACAATCACAGACTTGTGTGTGTTTGAACCACATCAGCTTAAATGAGCATATGAACGGATTTGACCTTTTACACGTGATACTCTAATTTCCTGCTGGGTTTACTACAAACACTACTTACCAGTAAAACCGCTTACCAGTAAACCCCGCTGAAAAGCTTTACCAGTAAAACCACATGTGTGACAGTGAGGTGTGGAGATGCTTCCAGACATGTTTGTGTATTTCTATTTTACACAGCCGTTTTAGTCATTTCACTCTTTTCTTCCAACTTATACATGTGTTATACATCCATCCATCCATCCATCCATCCAAAGAAGAAGTACTGTCCTACCTGCAGGACATGAGGTCATAGGCTCAGTCTTTATTTTCCATATTTACCTACATTTATTTGAAGGACAAAAATATTTAATCACAGCAGCACCATCAGGTATAGATTTCCAACAGCAATTTCTGCAATCTCCAACATCGCGCTGGTCAATCCGCTCTACAGACAATCAGAGCGCCCTCTAGTGACATTATAGAGGAGGTGCCAGATTCACAGGCTACTGTAATTTACTAACAATAAAGGAGTGAAAAGATTTTACTATTAAGATTAAACAACTGCATATTTATGGATTTCCATTTGTTTTTTTAATAATATTTTTGTTATTAAAAATTAGATTTCACATTAAGTTTTCTGGTTTCAGTTCTTGTTTTTAGCAGTGTCCATTGTTAATTGTACTTTTTAAAAATGATCTTTAAAGTTATAATTTAAAGACCTTAGCAGGTCTTAAAATGAAGTAAAAACAACCATCAAGAATTACACAAAGAGGACAAGAACAAAGACTTTGAGACAAACTGAATAACAAAAGGTGACACTTTATTTTGTCTGATGCAAATCTAAAGAATACAAAAATCCACTGGGAAAGGAAAACTGAATCCAGACAGGAAACTCACTGGAAGGAAAACAGACGCTGTGAAACTAAACAATAGTAAATATCAAAGAGTCTAGCAGACAGAGAGAACAGTTCTGGAGGTTGACCTTCTAGTGACATTACAGGGGAGGTGCCAGATTCACAGGCTACTGTAATTTACTAGTAATTAGGAGTTAAGAGATTTTACTATTAATATGAAACAACTGCATATTTATGGTTTTTCCATTTGTTGTTTTCTAAAATCAGCTAATAATTTTGACCCTGGTAAATTTGTTTTTAGTGAAATAATTTTGTTTCTGCGTGCAGTAAAATCATGTGAGTATCCAGAATATATTTGAAAAATTCTATTAACAGCCCCTTGCTCTGTTTAACAGCACTTGGGAAATACTTTTCATAGCAGGTGCTATAAATAAATAAAAATGTTTGCTTACAAACGGCAGCCGAGCACCACGTGATTCCTTAACCACGTGACCTCTGCAAGGAAAGCATGGCGGCGCGCTGTTCAGCAGGACTTGCAATATCGTCAGGTACAGCGCTGAAGCCTTTCTCACTCATTTTCCAGAATACGCACACACTCACACTATTCATTCATTCAGCATCAGCGAGTTCAGTATATGAAGACCGCTTTAAACAAGTTAACGAGTTTCATTTGTTCTACTTCACTTAAATAATGAAGACTTTAATCTGAGTGCCTGAGAATAACATTAATTCAAAGAGGCTGAGCCAGAGAGAACCAAAAACAGTGACACGTTTACGACCATCTAGAACCAAATTAGATTTACCGTTTAACCCGCACGTCTTTGGATTGTGGGCGCAAAGCCCATGCAACGTGCAGCATCTCAAACATGGCTTTATCCATTCGTTGTTTAAGGTGATTTTATTGAAACAACCCTCAGTAGAATTAAGCCCAGTGTAAAATAAGCATATAAGACACTTAACATAACTGCGAACTGAAAATACAAACAACAATGAACGTATCCTTATTTAAGCTAAATCGCCTCAGTTGGTATACATGAGATAGCACAGGTGTACCTATTAAAGTGGCCACTCATTATTTGTGGCCTCCAAATCTGTTCTACACAGAAGGCTGGAAAAGCTTTGTTTTTCAGACAAGACCAGGACCACAGTGCTTGAACACTGTATATCCATAATGTTCACATAGGTAACCAAAGTTCAGCTCGCATCCGAACATCCAAAATGATGCTGACCTCCTTCATAAAATTCATAATGGATGCTTTTGTTTTGTTTGGGATGTTTTTGGGGTTGTCTGCATGCCAGGAAAAGTTTGAGAACCACTCTAAAAGTCAATGGTTTTTTTTGCATGCCTGATGCAGTATAAAAGAAACATTGTTTCTAATAATTGCTGAAGAGGAGACTAAAGAAAATGTGCTGAAAGTCTAATCTTCTTAGCACTTAATGAACCCTTTTTCAATTAAGAGGGCTCTCTTCATCATTGCGTTACTCTTCTTTTCTCTAGGAGTGGCCAGTTTTCTGCGCAGAGCTTGTGTGGGCAGCTGTAGTCCCCCCACAGCCTTGCTGTGTCAGCAGCATCGACGTTTCTTCTGGAGGAAGTGGAAACGTTCTCACAATGTAGTTCGTCCAGCTACTGTCAGGCCCGCCTATGCAGTACCCAAGGTACAAGTACCCTGCCTAAAATGACCTCCTTATTAGCTGAATCAACAACTGAACTTCTTATGATTCTGCTCAACATGCTGAGAGGAGTGTTTTTAATATCAGCAGTTGCAATAGACTGTAGGTAAAAGCTGAAATGTTTAACATATGCATATAGGTAGGTTAAGGGTCATCAGTGGAGAGGAGGGATCTTGGGACTAGTTTAGTTAGGTTAATATAAGTTTTATTTTCATGGTGAAGTATGTCAACTCTTACTAACTTATGAGAGCTTTTTATATTATTCTACTGGAGGTTTTCAGTTAGGATTAAACACATGCTGGATCAAATGTACAAGAGGTGCAGTAAAAATGAATTAAGAGAATTGTACGAACTCAGAATGAGAAACACTCTTAACATCTGTCATTTGAGGAGTTTCATCATTTCTTTTGGTTTGGACTCCAATAACAAATAAGAAGAAGAAGAAGAAATAAATTCTTTTTTTAAAAACTTTTATATTGAACTTACAAAACAGACTCATCCTTAACATCCTGTCCTGCCTCTGCTCCCTTCCTGTAGCATATTGTGCAGCCTAACTATGTGCAGACTGGACTTGTCCCAGAATGGCCAGACTACATAGAAATCAAAGACAAAGAGCAGATCGAAGGCCTGACTAGAGCATGTCAGCTGGCCAGACATGTGCTGCTCCTAGCTGGGCGCAGTCTGAAAGTAAGCATATTACTGCATGTCCTGTTTTTGTTCTCATGCCGTCGAAAACAACACAAAGATAACAGCTTGTGCCTTTCAGGTTGGTATGACAACAGAAGAAATAGACTTCATCGTGCACAAAGAGACAATCAAGCACAATGCCTACCCGTCCCCTCTCAGATACGGGGGTTTCCCCAAATCAGTCTGTACATCTGTGAACAACGTGGTCTGTCATGGCATACCTGACAGGTAAATGGGTGTTTCATTCATTCATTCATATAATTCTTTCAGTATTACACTTTTGAATAAGATTTTATTGTTAACATGTCCTGTAGTCGGCCACTTGAAGATGGAGATATCATCAACATTGATGTAACTGTAAGTTCACTCCTTTCGTCATCACCCAGAGAAACTCGCATACCATAGTGCATGTGATCAGTCAGGCCGGCAGTAATCTAATCAGTTATCACTGCCTCTTCCTGATAGGTGTATTTGGATGGTTACCATGGTGACACCTCAGAAACCTTCTTGATTGGTCAGGTTGACGAGGTTGGGAGGCGACTGGTGGAAACCGCCAGGCGTTGCAGAGATGAAGCCATCAATGCCTGCAAACCAGGTGCACAGCTTTGTGTTATTGGAAATACTATCAGGTACACACATACTCGTCAGCTGCATATCACATACAGTACTACTTTTCTTTCTTTCTTCATATATTTTTTTGTACTGTTTACAGTGAAATAGCCCATGCCAGTGGCTTCCAAGTGTGTCCGCATTTCATTGGGCATGGAATAGGCTCCCATTTTCATTGCCATCCTGAGATTTGGCACCACGGTGAGTTTGGGTCTGTAGTCAAATGTTAAATGTCTCTGTGAGGTCATAAGATAGTGGGCTTCATTCAAAAACACGCTTTTGGTTTTATCCAAATTCACTTTTTATTTGATGTTTGCCTGTGTTGTTTCCCCTAATTTGATTCACTAAATGACCTTAACTTAAAACGTCTTCTCTTCTCAGCCTGATGCTTTTTCTTTGCCGCCACTATTCTTCTCCTTTATTTTAGCTAACGACAATGACATGACCATGGATGAAGGGATGGCTTTCACGATAGGTAAGTTACACTTTACGGTCTCTGTGTGCACATTAAGATGATGCTGTTTATGAGTGTAGGGTTACTAATATCTGTTAATCTGTAGAGCCTATCCTGATGGAGGGGTATGCAGAGTTCAGAATCTTGAAGAACAAGTGGACTGCAGTTTCTGTAGATGATAAAAGGTACACAGTGCACAAATGAAGGCCTTTTTTAAATGACATGCTATTTCCCGACTTTCAGGTTTCAGTCATTCTGATTTCTGTGCAGATTTATTTATTTAGCACTTTAATTCGAGAAATTTAGATGCTATTTTTAAACTCTGGAGAGCCAGACCTTTTCTAATCTTTACACTAAACTAAAATAATTGTTTGCTATTTCCATAAGCTGCACCCAAAAACATCAAAGCTATTCCTCTAAATGTTGATCTCTTCTTTTAAGATCTTACATGTTTGTTTTGTCCTGCAGGTCAGCTCAGTTTGAGCACACAGTGGTTATCACAGCGGACGGTGTGGATATTCTCACCAAACTGCCAGAAGAGAGCAGTGCATCAAACTGATGAGCCCTAGCCTCAGCTGAAAATCTACACTACCTTTTTGGATGACAAATGGAAGAAATAACGGAACATACTTTAATCTACACAGTTTCTATTTGTCAAGTAAAAAAAAGGGCTCTAGTAAATATAAAGAACTACACGTATCGATATATTTAAGATGGCATTGGAGTGGATCTTATTGAAGCTCGGTTTTGTGTATGAGTGAGGATTTTTAAGGTATTTAATTAAAACCTTGTTGGTCTGCAGGATCACAACATTGATCTATTTTTCTTTTTAACATGGTTAAACTTGAGCATGATGCAGTCCTCATTACAACACCTGTATCTGTTCTCTCAAGAAGACTTTCCACAGACTTAATGTCACAAAGCCCACATTTCAGCTTCTTTGTATATTTTCTGTAAAAGATCTCTCATTGTACTCAAAATGCAGTTTCAAAGCCTTTTATTGTGATTAGGTGTCAAAATTCCTTTTAATTGTGTATTAGAGTCATTTACGACAATTTAGTGAGACTTTTGAAACACATGAATGACATACATCAGTTAGATAAGGTTTAGTGAGCTTGTTGATGACTGATGTTCTGTGGAGTATGGCCAGTAGATGGCAGCACACACCATCAGACGTTGTATTATCTGCGTAGGTTTCTCATGTGTCAGATCAGTTTGGCACATCTATTCACAGGGCCAGAGGTTTACTTCACTTGACACACAAATATTTTTGTTATATGGTCCTAAACTCTTAACATCTTTGTTCACTAAATATAACAGATTCACTCACTGCACACTTCAACAACTTACGCGGTGAGTGAGAGAATTTGGACAAACAAGAGGTTAAAAAAATTGTGCTCGAGGCTTTAAATTCCAGGCATAGCAAAATCCTTTTGTTCGGCATTTCAAATTCCTCATCACTGTCTGCATCTTCTGTCTCCCTAGGTCGATTTAGCAGAGCAACATTACAGAGCTGTCTTCTCATATGTTTGAGTGTTTGAACATCATGCGTTGTTGAAAATGTAAAACCTCATAATGCTGCTGTAATTGAGGCGGCGTGTTGAACTGATGATGCTTCGGGGAGGGAAAAAAGGGAAGAGCTACTGGATTTAAGCCTGCCAGAGGGTGTTTTCACTTCCTGCCAGTGTATGATGTGTATGCGTATCTGTGTGCCCATACCAGTGCCACCTGTGGGTGAGGCAGGAAGGATTAATCAAATAAAGCTGTAGTCTGCACATGTCCAACCAGGAAATGATTCATGTCATTTTAATTGATGCGTGACACATGATAACGAGATTATATCATGATCATTTTTATGATATATGTTTTAAAATAAAGAAAAAAAATCACATGTAACGTGGCAAAGAAAGCTTTCAAAGAAGTGAAGCAATGTTCTGTTTACTGTAGCTTTTTTTTTCTTCCTAACAATTCATCTGATTTTAGGGCAGGGTGTGTTGAGCTGTGTGTGTGTGAGCTGCCTGTGAATCAGTTCAAGAGTGAGGTAAACAATTCTTAGTGATTCATTTATTATAAAGCATGACACAAATCTGAAAACAATCTTAGAAGGCAAAGGGGACATGGGGCAAGGATCAGATACAAGTGCAAGCAGAGGTGAGTAAGAGGAGAGGTTTTAGGGAGGAACAGGGAGTGGCAGGCAGAGGTGTTGGTCTCTGGATCTGAATACTCTGTTCTTCACATTCTTTTCCTGCAAGTTGGGACTCATTCCTGATCTCCTTATGTGAACTGCAGTTTTCCCAATAAATCCCTGCTTGCTTTTACATTTCAAATGGAACATTGACTATTAAAAAAAACAAAATCAAAACACTTTTTATTGTTAAAGATGTGAAATCTGTACTTTACTTACAAGTGCAAGTAAACTGTGTACATGTATTTGTGTGGCAATGCTACACCTGAGATCTAGAGAAGGGTTACAGGAGAACTTGTTTGCTTTTTGCCACATCATCATGTGACCGTTTGTGAAACTCTTGATATGATTATAGTTCTTATAATGCAAGAGGTGGACTTTTGTCAATAGGATGCCAAAGTTTGTTATCTATGTGGGGAAAGACTGTTTTTTGTGCAATAAAGCAACATTAATCTTGTCTCAACTAGATTTGGTGTGTAGCACGTGAGTTATGCATGCAGAAAGTATTTTCTGTAATTAAAGTATTTGACAAGACCTGTTGCAACACTTCCCATTTCTGGGATTTAAAGCCAAAGTATCAAATATGTTTAAAACTGAAAATACATGTTTGTAGTGAGAAGCCTGAATCTTAACCGGCACTTTTGTTTAGTTTTAAACTGTCTGTTTTTGAGCTTCAGTTAATGTTTAATGTAGTCACACCAGCTCCTCATTTGGTCAGCACCTTCTCCAAGAGTACGTACAGTCTTGGTTTCTGGATGGGTGGTTGTTGAATTCTGACATTTCGTGTGCTGGGTCTGCACTGTGCAATTAGATGTGCTTTTTTCCTGCAGACACACTAATGCTGAAGTTAAAGGCACATCTGATGCTCATATGACATCTGCATTCCTTATTCTACATCATGATATTTACCGCCTATTGCACAAAGTTGTTCTGTCATAACTGTGGAAGTAGATTAACGTGTTATGTTTCTCAGACTTTCTCACATTCTGTCTGTGCATACCAGCGTTAATGTATGTGTGTGTGTGTGTGTCTGTGCGAGACAGCCAGCCTGCGATATATCACATGTACCTGTGAGGATCACCACAGAAATTCTTGGTTTCCTTGGTGCCCTCTGAATTTATGATGTTAACACAATGATCTATCATTTTCAGACTTGTGGAGGCAGATCCGTCTCACTCACTCATGCACAGATGGCGTTTATTGAATCTTTCTGACTAAGTCTCAGTAGGGACTTAGTCAGAACACCTAAAGGCAAAACAAAAAGAGCTGAGTTTGTTGCTCGTTACGTGAACATTCACTGTACAGGACATGTAACTACATGATGACATCGATGGAATAAACTCAGCTTCTTCCGATTGAGGTTGCAATGAGGAAAAAACAACTTTAAATGATTTTAATGTGGTCCAGCAGGTATTTATTGGCAATGTTTATTATTTCCATTTGTTAGCATGCTAACGTTTGGCTATTGGGAGTACACAAGCCCAGTCTGTCCCTAAGATTGTAGGTATTTGGTCAAAAACTACAGTCTTAGTAAAGTCAAACTTACTAGTTGGATCACAGTTAGATCCCAAAATTACAGATGTACCAAAGGCAGTTCCTCCTACAGCTGCTGGAATACTTCAGTATAATGAAAGTGACCTAGCAAACATAAAAAATGAGATTGTCACCCCTTGAGCTAAAATTCATCCACATATGTTACCTAAACTACTGTGCAAAAGTCTTCAGCCAGCCCTCATTTCTTTATATTTGCTTCAAAGGAGCCAGACTTGATCATAGGAAGGAGTTCTCCAGACTTTTTGAAGATTTTCAAGTTTTGATTTTATTTGTTTACTGACCTATTGCTGCCCTTTTGCATAACTCAAGCATAGACAACTAACTCAAGGGATGAATCTGAGTTGCATCTACAAATAACAGACAACATAGCAAAGAACAAATGTGAAATTGTATCTGCAGGGAAAAAACCTACTGTTCACTAAAGCCTCATCAGGAGTGGTTTCAATAAAAGGAGGTCAAGAAGCCAGTGTTAAGTTAGAAGGAGAAAAGCACAGGTATGTATAATCTACACTGGCAATGCATGTATGCATGTCTGGAAGTGGATATATCTTTACCATGGAACACTAGGCACTGGACCTTAACATTATTAAAGCAGTGTGTGATTATCTTGACAGAAAAGTCATCAACATCCAAAGAAAAGCTTTGAATGTCCTTCAAGAAGTCTGGAAAACACTATAAATTTTATCTATTGTCCTGAAAAGAGACTTAATTCCTTATTTTTGTATATGTATTTAAAAATCACCAAGGACAAACTACATTAATTATTATAAAATTGTCTCTATAGAGTATGTGTGTCACACGTTATAGCTAATATGCATGAAAGTAAACTGGAGTTGCCAGACTGACACAGGGAGGGTTTCCAATTGATTGATTTAAGGTGGAAAGCTTTCTCTTATGACCTCTGCACTGTTTCATTGTGAGGAATTCTTTCTGGCTTTTCAACAGAGTAGAAAAAAAAAATATGAAAGAACCGATTTTGTGCTCTTGAGCCACAGTTAAGTGGCTTGATTTGGGCTTGATCTGCGTGGCTTCTGTGTGTCTCGTTGTCCTTCCTGTGTCTAAACATCCAAAGCATGCTGTCAAAATAAGAGCAAGAGTGCAGTGTTATGTGTCTGTGTGTAGATGGTATGTATCGCCTGAGGCGGCTCCAAAAGGTCTTTGATAAATGGCCTCTGTCTACGTCTGTTGTCTTCTGAGATGCACACTCCCACATAGGCATTATTCCCCAAAACACACTGGGAGCTCAATGCCCTGCACAATGCTCTCTCACAATGCCTCACAATGCTCAGAGAAACCGGTTATAGAGCTTAAAGCAATGGCCTTTCAGCTGTGAGTGCATGGGCCTCACTGGGAGGTGTGGACAAATTTGGGTAAGGATGGAAAGGCTTGAAAGGAGAGCAAGCTTCCCATTTCTTTATAACTCAGGGGAGAAAAAAATCCACTAACCAAATTACCCACATTTTCATTTACTTCAATCTACAGATGATATTTAAATGAAGGTGTTCTGTCTTAACCAGAAAACTGACCCACTCAGGTTGCCCAACATTTTTGAAGCACACCTGGACTCATCAATGCACAGCTACAGCCATATTACATTACATCCCCTGCAGGACTGGGACATGACGTGTTGCTTATTTGGGAGAAAAATGCACAAAGGTGAGGCTGCTAGCACGTTGCAACTGCACTTACAGCAATTACTTCTTATTGACTGTAATCAATACACTCATCGAGAGAGATCAAGGATCTGTTACAGCCTATACTGTGAGTGTGTCTTCATCTCATAAGATATGCTAGGAAATTTGATCAATGCTATGAATAAAAGAGGCCAGTTAGAATGCAGATTATTCATTTGCACTTACAATATCATTTTCCTGCTTGCATTAAGCAGGTTAAGGATATTTACAGCCTTATGCACTCAGTGAAAGTACAGAGAGTCGGTGTGCTGCAGTTATGAAAGATCTGCGGGTTGGTGTGATTGTGAAACCGATGTGTGTGCGTTTCTCAGTATCCCTAGGCTACATGTTTCTACAACACTCATCGCTCTTAGTTCAGTGTGCTACACCCACAGGTGCAGCTTAAGAAGTTTGGGGTGTGGCTTGGACAAGTTCAGGTGCTGCATTTGGACTTGCGTGTGCCAGAAGTTTGCTATCACTGCCATTTTTCTCCTCTGGCACCCGGGGGAAGGGTTTTCCTGTTGTAACACCGAACATGCCGTCCTGTACACATGACTAAGATCTTAATTGTGGGTGTAGATCATTAAGAAAATATGCTATGTGTGTGAGCATATGAATTGTTTTTATAGAAAATATCCACATTATTGTAATTGTTGAGGAAGAAAATCACTGACTGTTTAATGTTAGCAGCAAATAAACTGAATTTCAAAGATGTTAAATTAATTCATCATTTGAAGATGGATGCACTGGTGAGATTGTACAGGACTTGTGCCTCTCTACTGTCAGGACAGTTTGTCACAAGATTTATGCACAAATGTTACAATAGACGAAATGTGTGAGCTACACACCGGCCACTTCATTAGGCACATCTTGCTGGTACCCCATTGGACTGCTTTTGTTGTCAGGACTGCATTAATTCTGCATGGCACAGATTCAACAGGATGCTGGATACAATCCCCAGAGACTTTGTCCATACTGACACGATAGCATCACACAGTGGCTGCAGATTGTCAGCTGCACATCCATGGTGAGAATCTCCTGCTCCACCTTGGTTATGTCTTTCTATAGGTTAAAAGCACTCTGGCCATTTTACTCTGACCTCTGGTATCAACAAAGGTTTTCACCCAGAGAACTGCTGCTCACTGGACTCCTCTCTTTTTTTGTACCATTCTCTGTAAACTCTACAGATTGTTGTGCAGGAAAGTAGATCTGAATTACACAGACTGGCTTGTCTGACTCTGACAATCAAGACACATTCAAAGTCGCTTAAATCACCTTTCTTCTTCATTCTGACTCTTGGTTTGAACTGCAGCAGGAGTTGCATTAGTTACTGTGATTGGCTGATTAGATAATTGTGTTAAAGAGCTGAACGGGTGTACCCAGTGGAGAGACCAGTGACTGTACGACAGTAAAGGAGAAAAAGAAACAGCATGTAGTGAAATATGTGAAGTAAAGAAAAATTATAATAAAATCTTTATGAATTTTCAGCAGTTGCAAAGTAAGACCGAAGGAGAACAGAAGTGGAATGAAAACATAAAAACATGAGAAGTAATGAGAACTGCCACATATAAACACAAACACACTTTAAACCTGAAGGTTCAAGGCAAGGGTGAACTAAGCTAACTGACGCTGCTTGGCTCCACACACTCCCGCTCTTATCAGTGATAAGGCTGACTGTTGTATCCGACATCTGCAGTCATAAATTGCTGACGGTTGCCCAGTTGGCATGCTCACCTTAAAAGCTCTACTGTACCAAGACAAAGACACATATATAAAGTTGGA